TTCTCAAATGGAGAAATTAAAGCCATCTATAGTCATATGAAAAAATGCTCTAAATCACTAGTAATTAGAGAAATGCAAATCAAAACAACTCTGAGGTACCACATCACACCTATCAGACTGGCCAAGATGACAAAACAGGAAAATAATAAATGTTGGAGAAGATGTGGGAAAATTGGAACACTAATGCATTGTTGGTGAAGTTGTGAAATGATTCAACCATTTTGGAGAGGAATTTGGAACTATGCCCAAAGGGCTATAAAAATGTGCATACCCTTTGACCCAGCAATAGCACTTCTAGGGCTATATCCCAAAGAGATCAAACAAATGGGAAAAGGACCCACATGTACAAAAATATGTATAGCAGCTCTTTTTGTGGTGGCAAAGAATTAGAAATTGAGAAGATGCCCATTAATTGAGGAATGGCTGAACAAGTTGTGGTATATGAATGTAATGGAATACTATTGTGCTATAAGAAATGATGAATAGGCTGACTTCAGAAAAACCTGGAAAGACTTGTATAGTCTGATGCTGAGTGAAGTGAACATTATACACAATAACAGCCACATCGTGCGATAGCTAATATTGATAAACTTAACCCTTCTCAGCAATACAAGGATCTAAGACATCTCCAAAGGCCTAGTGATGGAAAATGCTATCCACATCCAAAGAAAGTACTATGGAATTTGAATGCAGATTGAAGCATATTATTTGCTATTTTTTTTTCTGTTGTGTTTTGTTTCTTCTTTCTGATGGTTCCTCCTATTGGTTCTAATTCTTAGCTACAACATCACTAATGTGAAAATATGTTTAGTAGGACTATATATGTATAGCCTATATCAGATTGCACTCTGTCTTGGTGAGGGAGGTGGGGAGGAAGAGGCAGAAAAATATAAAACTCAAAAGCTTATAGAAGTAATTCTTGATAATTCAAAATAAATTGATTAAAATGTAAAATTAAATAAATAAATAAAAATTTAAAAAATAAAAATCAAATGTTTAGTGGAAAAAAAAGAAACAGACTAGACCAAATGGTAAAAGATGTACAAAAAGCCAATGAGAAGAAGAATGCCTTAAAAAGCAGAATTGACCAAATGGAAAAAGAGGCACAAAAATTCACTGAAGAAAAAAATTCCTAAAAAAATAGAATTGGCCAAATGGAAAAGGAGGTACAAAAGCTCCCTGAAGAAAATAATTCCTTAAAAATTAGAATGCAGCAAATAGGAGCTAATGATTTTATAAGAAATCAAGAAACAATAAAACAAAATCAAAAGAATGAAAAAATAGAAGACAATGTGAAATATCTCATTGGAAAAACAATTAACCTGGAAAATAGATCCACGAGAGATAATTTAAAAATTATTGGACTATCTGAAAGCCATGATCAAAAAAAGTCCTAGACATCATCTTTCAAGAAATTATCACAGAAAACTGCCCTGACATTTTAGAACCAGAGGGTAAAACAGAAATTAAAAGAATCCACTGATCATCTCCTGAAAGAGATCCCAAAATGAAAACTCTTAGGAACATTACAGCCAAATCTGAAAGCTTCCAGGTCAAGGGGAAAATATTGCAAGCAGCCAGAAAGAAACAATTCAAGTATCATGGAGCCACAGTCAGGATAACACAAGATTTAGCAGCTGTTACTTTAAAGGATCAGAGGCCTTGGAATATGATATTCTGGAAGGCAAAGGAGCTAGGATTAAAACCAAGAATCACCTACCAGCAAAATTGAGTATAATCCTTCAAGGGGAAAAGTAGATAGTCAATGAGATAGAGGACTTTCAAGCATTCTTGATGAAAAGGTCAGAGCTGAATAAAAAATTTGTCTTTGAAATACAAAACTCAAGAGAAGTATAAGGGGCAGCTAGGTGCTACAGTGGATAGAGCTCTGGCCTTGGAGTCAGGAGGATCTGAGTTCAAATCTGGCCTCAGACACATAACACTTACTAGCTGTGTGACCCTGGGCAAGTCACTTAACCCTATTGCCTAACAAAAATGAAAAAGAAAGAGAGAGCATAAAAAGGTAAAGAAGGGGAAATCATAAGAGACTTAATAAAGCCAAACTGTTTACATTCCTACATGGGAAGATGATACTTATAAGAACTTTCTCATTATTAAGGCAGTTAAAAGGAGTATATATAGACAGAGGGCACAGGAGTGAGTTTAATATGAAGGGATGACATCTAAAAAAATAAAATTAAGCAGGGAGAGAGGAATGGACTCAGAGAAAGGGAAAGGGAGAAGTAGAATGGGGTAAATTATCTCACATAAAAGAGGCAAGAAAAAGCTTTTACAGTGGAGGGGAAAAAAGGGGAGGTGGAGGGAGTGAATGATTCTTACTCTCATCAGAATTGGCTTAAAGAGGGAATAACATACACACTCAGTTGGGTATAGAAATCTATCTTACCCCACAGGAAATTAGGAGAGGAAGGGGATAAGAGAAGGGAGGTGGGTGATAGAAGGCAGGACAGATTGGGGGAGGGTTAGTCAGAAGCAAAACACTTTTGAGGAGGGAAAAGGTGAAAGGAGAGAGAGAACAGAAGAAACAGAGTGGGAGAAGTAGGATGGAGGCAAATACATTTAATAATAATAACTGTGAAAAAATATTTGAAATAATTTTCTCTGAAAAGCCCTCATCTCTCAAACATGTAGAGAACTGAGTCAAATTTATGAAAATGAGAGCCATTCCTCAACTGATAAATGATCACAAGATATGAATGGTTTTCAGATGAAGTAATCAAAGCTATCTATTGCCATATGAAAAAAAAATGCCCCAACTTACTATTGATTGGAGAAATGCACATTAAAACAATTCTGAGATACTGCCTCAAATCCATTAGATTGGCTAATAGGACAGAAAAAGAAATCACAAATGTTGGAGGAGATGTGGGAAAAGTGAGACATTAATACACTGTTGGTACAGTTGTGAACTGATTCAGCCACTCTGTGGAGCAACTGGGAACTAGGCCCAAAGGACTATAAGACCATGCATGCCTTTGTTTGTTTGTGTGTTTGTTTTTTGGTGAGGTGATCAGGGTTAAGTGACTTGCCCAGAGTCACACAGCTAGTAAGTGTTAAGTGTCTGAGGCTGGATTTGAACTCAGGTCCTCCTGACTCCAAGTCCAGAGTTCTGTTCACTGTGCCACCTAGCTGCTCACATACCCTTTGCCCTAGCAATAACACTGCTAAGTCTGTATCTCAGAAGAAATTAAAAAAAAACAAAGAAAAAAAGGACCTATATGTAAAAAAATATTTATAGCAGCTCTTTTCTGATGACAAATAAGTGGGAACTGAAGGGATGCCCATCAGTTGGGGAATGAGTGGGCGAATTGTTCTATGTGATTGTGATAGGATACTTATTGTGCTATGTAAGACATGATGAACAGGATGCTCTCAGAGAAACCTGGGAAGACTTACATGAGCTGATGCAAAGGGAAATGTACTATGCACAAAGTGACAGCAATATTATAAGATGATCACTATGAATGACTTAGTTATTCTCAGCAACAAAATGATACAAGACAACTCTGAAGGTTTATGATGAAAAATGCTATCCATTCCCAAAGAAAGAACTGACGGTGTTTTTATTTTATTTTTCTTGAGGTTTTTTTTTTGTGTTTGTTTTCTCTCACAACATGAGTATTATGGAAATGTTTTGCATGACTACACATGTATAACCTATATCAAATTGTTTCCCTTCTCAATGAGGGGGATGGAAATGGAGGAAGGGAGAGAATTTGGAAATCAAAGTTTTAAAAATGAATGTTTAAAATTGTTTTTACATGTAACTAGAGGAAAACAAAATACTAAAAGAAAAAAATATTTGCCTCCTCTTGACTGCCAGATCTTGAGGGATGGACAGAACCAAGGGTGAAGTCCATCTTTGGGGCTGAAAAAAACAACAGTCCAACAACCCAGTCTACTCTGAGTAAAGGCATGAATGCAACTGTTAAAATAGAATTTAGCAGAAACAAGTAAATTAAGCTAATTACTCTGGTGCTAATTAATGAAGCACATGCAGGTCTGCCCTGATGAAAGTCTAGAACTCTGAGAGTAGCACCGCTTCCATTTTTCTTTAGTCAGGAGGCCCATGCATGTGGCAGCTTATGTGTGGGAGTCCAATACTGATGGATTCCTCATTCATGGATTGGGTTGGGTCCTGCCACCAGGGTAGTCCAGTCAGTCTGGATGAAATCAACACTATGTAAACAACTGTATAAATATAAAATACAAATTAAATACCTCAGAGGCCATACACTCAGCCTGGGGGCAGCTAGGTGACACAGTGAATAAAGTACCTGCCCTGGAGTCAGGAAGACCTAAATTCAAATCCGGCCTCAACACTTGACACTTAACTAGCTGTGTGACTTTTGGCAAGTCACTTACCCTCTGTTGCCTTACTAGAAAGCAAAAAAAAAAAAGTGACTTTATGAATTTTTTTTTAATGTATACGGGATGTCCTTGGATCTCTGCACCAAAAGATATATTTTAGTCATTTTCTTAGCAAAATTCTGAATTACCTCACCAAATGTCTGACTTGCCAAGGGGGAGAAGAAAGCAAACAGTGGTAGAGAGACAGGGGTATCAGTGGGAGTGGACAAGTCAATGGATTTGGGGGGGCCTCTTCTGTAAAATGAGAGAATTCAGCTTGATCAACTCTAAGGTCTCTTTCAACCCTTAATTTATAATCCAATGCTCCCATGAATGTTTCCCTTTCTCCCCTAGCCCCAGTCAGCTATATAAGGGGCCATAATATTCTATTCCATCTGTGTAATTACACCATCGAGGCAGCTACTGGTGACATGGGATTTTCCAACGAAAGCCTCTGTAAAGGCCAGAGCGAAGGTGATAACCATGGGTCCAAAGCTCCAAATGACTGCTGTTGGTGCGGGGCGCCATATTTATCAGCAGGACTATCCTATGCCTTCTTACTTTTCCGTTTCTTGGACTCCCCCTATCTCCAGCACCCCGGGAGGCCTCTGCGCAGAGAGGACTGTGAGGCCTCCAGCACCGCGGGGGCATTTCCTAGCGCCGCCACTAGGGGCCTCTGCAGGGAGGGCGTTGCCGGATGTTCCCACTAGGAGGCTCTGCAGGGAGGGCGTTGCCGGATGTCCCCTCTAGGGGGCTCTGCAGAAAGGCGCTCGAAAGCCCCAGCTCTGATGGACTCCCTGGAGAGGGTGCCCCAAGGCTCACAGCCCTGTCACAGCAGAGCTGGGAGGATGCTGGGCCCCCTGGGAGCCCTGCTCCTCCTCTTCAGGCTGCTGCTGCCCGTGGGTGAGCTCCCGGATGGTGGGGAGTGGGGTGGGGTCTGTGGAGGGGGGTGTCTGCGGGGGGGAAGGGCCTGCCCCTTGTGCCCCTAACTAGGGCCCCGCCCCCTTCTCTCCCTACAGACTGCGCTTCTGTGGAGCCGCCGACGACCCAGGAGGATGAAAAAGGTTCTATGGGGGGGTGGGGCAAGGCCCGGGCCTACCCCCACAGCCTTCAGTGCCCAGAGGGCCCCCCACCCCTCCAGGCTTCACTGCCTGGGGGGGCCCACACAGCCTTGGCAGCCCTGCCCCAGAGCCCTGGCTCCTCTTTGCTGAGGGAGAGCTCAGGCCCCTCCCCTCCCTGGGCATTCTGTGTTCTAGGGGCCCTCTCACCTCTGACATTCTGTGTTCTAAGCTTGCCTTATGACATGCCATGTTCTAAGAGACCTTCCAGCTCTGACTTAGTATGGTCCTATGATCATAATATTTTCATCACAAACTGTCCCACCCCTGCCCAGATCCCAGTTCTCCCAGGAATATAATGAAGGAGCAGTAGGTAAGATATGTACATTCAACAGGAGAAAAGACTTCTTAATGATAATGACTGCTCATTTTGAGATCAGACGATGCAGGCAGGCCCTAAACCCATGGTTAGATACTCATTTTCTTCAAGGCCTGAACCCATAGAGAAGAATTTGCAAATGAGTAGTGAGAACATGGTGGCCTTCCTGGAGACAATGTCCGTCCATTGGCTTCAAGGATCCCCTAATGGAGCAGACAAAGTTCTGGACCTGAGGGCATTTCTTATGTGTTGTGAGGAAACTGTTCTTCCTTCTGTCTCCATGTAGGTCCTTCCCCTTTCCTGCCATTGCCTTCTCTGCTATATCTACCTCTGATCTCCCTCAGTAGCTTATGGTACAAAGTAATTTCATCCAATGTATCTTGGTCCTAATGGGGAGACACCCTCAGGGGGCTAGGTCCTGCCTTTAGGATCAAAGGTGCTTCAGCCATAATCCTGAATATAGGAAAGGAAAGGATCCTTGGAGATCGCCTAGGCCAGCCCCTTCATCATGCAGGCTAGGGACCCAGAAAGGTTAAAAAATCATTTGCCCATGGTCACACAGTGGGAGTCAGTGGTAGGACCTTTCATCCAGCATGACATACATGGTATAGAGGAGGTAACTACAAGTAAGGCCAGTGAATACAAAGCACTCTAAGTCTTCATAGAGTGACTTCTCAATTTGGCTCCAGGGGCATTCCCAGAACACCCAACATGACTGTATGTTTATAGGCTCAGAGGTTCGTAGAAGCCAGAAGAGACCTTAGTGTCCATCTAGTTCAACTGCCTTATTTTAAAGGTGAGGAATCTGAGGAACAGAGAGGTTCAGTGACTGCTCAAGGTCACATGGGTATTAAGTGGCAGAACAGGGATTTCAGCTAAGGTCAGATGACTCCAAACCAGGTCTCTTTCCACACTCCTTTTATTCAAATGTAATAAGTATTTATTGAATTAATAACAGCTAAGTGGTCCTATGGATAGAGTTCTGGCCTTGGAGTTCGGCAGGCCTGAGTTAAAATCCAGCCTCAGAAACATTCTAGCTGTGTGACCTTGGACAGGTCACTTAGCCTCTGTGTGCCACTGGAGAAGGAAATGGAAAACCACTCCATTATCTTTGCTAAGAAAACCCCACGGACGGAGGTCCATGGTGTCACACAGAGTCAGATGTGACTGAAACAACTGAACAACATTTGTATAGTGCTGCAAGGTTTGTGAAGCATTTTACATGTTTTCTCATGTGATCCCCACAACAACCCTGAGAGGTAGGTAACATTACTATCTCCATTTTATGCTCTGTGAACTGTGTCTCCTAGTAGTCTGGTGAATGAAATTCAATTGAATGGTCTCATAAAATGGAAACAGAAATTGACTAGCCTAAAGTGCAATCACATGATATCTGGGGTCCCCTCACGTCACTATCCCTGTTTGTTAGGGATCAAAGGGGAACTTCCTGAGATCCACCTTGGAGTGGTGATCCCTTAGTTGTCACTACCAAGAGCTAAGGAGATCAGCAACGATAATGATGATAACCGTAGTAATGTCTCTCATGTCTACTGCCTATGGATGTGGGAAGTCTATGACCTAGGTAGTGCTGGAATCATTATTCTGATTTTGCAGATGGGGAAACTGGGGCTCAGAGAGTTTAGAAGGTCTGCTCAGTCGTACAGTAAGTATCACAACCAGGATTGAAACCTAAGTCACTCTATCTCCAATCCAGGACTTTTTTTTTGTTTTAACAGCCTTATAAGGTGGCTGTTTCTTGAAGTGCTAACTATTAAGTAGAACTTAGGGGTTGTGACTTCAATGGAGGACTGATAACCCAGGATTCTGGGTCCCCTCCTGTGTCTGTCTGTCTCTCTCTCCTACCTCTTTCACTTCCTCCCCCTGTTGTCTCTCTTTCCGCTCGCTCCCTCTCTCTGTCCCCTTCTCTCTCTCTCTCTCTCTCTCTCTCTCTCTCTCTCTCTCTCTCTCTCTCAATTCTCTCTCATCTATCTTTCTGTCTCAAATCTTTTCCATCTCTCTCTGTCCATCTCTTCTGCCACTTCTCTCTCTCTGTCTCTCTCACCCTCTCACCCTTGTTCTCTCACTTTTCCTCCCTCTGTAGGCTGTGGTCATTCAACAATAGTTGAAAGAGTCATAGGTGGAGAAGCATCTGTGCCCTCAAAATGGCCATGGCAAGTCAGCATTCAGAATGACAGCAAGCACCTGTGTGGTGGGACCATAATTGCTGGATCGTGGGTGCTGACAGCTGCTCATTGTGTGAATATGTGAGTTGAACTATTTCCAAGGCCCTTAGTGAACTAATCAGTCACTCCATAGGTCAGGATAAATATCATTTGCCCTACCTCTCTTATGGTGTTGTTGGGAAAATACTTTGTAAACTTTCCTGTGATTCCAAGTCCAGAGCTGTTTCCCTCTTTAGCAGGATAGTTGGGTTAGGTGGGGTAGGTTGGGGCAAGGAGCATGAGCTGGAACACAGGAAAGAGCCTGGAAAGGTAAGAGTGGACACAGTGTCACAATTGTGGCAGGTGGGTAGAAGTAGCGTTACAGAAAGAGTAGGAGTTACATGGTCCTTTATCACCAAACGATGTAGAATCACAGAATCTCAGTAGAAAAGGCTTTAAAATCCCTACAATATCTCCAACAAGAGGCCGTCTAGCACCAGCTCAAATGAGGAATACAGAAACAACCCTAGCTCTCAAGTCAGTCTGTCTGCTTTTTGACAGCTCTGATTTTTAGAGTAGTGTTAAGGGTTAAGACTGTTGCTTCAACTCAGTCAGCCAACTAGGCAAGAAGCCTTTATTAGGCATTGCCTGTGTGCCAGGCCCTGTGCTAAGTAAGCACCAGGGAAACAAAGAAAGGGGAAGAACAAATTAATAAAGAAGTGAATGAATGAATAGATGAATGAGTCAATAGATAAATTAAGGAATGAATGGATAAGTGAGCAGATGAATAAATAAAGCAAAACACACAGCTCAGCCCCTGCCCCCAAGGAGCTGACATCCTAATGGGGGAAACCATATGTTAATAACTAGGTACATACAAGACCTAGTCATAGTAGATGAGGAGTAATTGGAGAGTGGAGGGCATTAGCAGCTGAAGGGGTAGCAGTGGGGTCCAGAAAGGCCTCCTGCTGAGTCCTAGAGGAAACCAGAGAAGCCAGGAAACAGAGATGAGGAGAGAGAGTGTTCTAGACCAGGGAGACAGGCCAATGCAAAGACAGGAGATCAACTGAGCCACAATCTCCTCAGCAGCTCTTTGCTCTTCTGTGTGTGCCCTCCTTTCCCACCCCACCCATGTGATAAAGGTGAATCCTTGAAGCTATTTGAAACTAATTCTTGAAACTTTTGGAAGACTGCAGTTAGTCCCTCTCTGTGTCTTCTCTTCTCCACCCTAAACATCTCTAGTTAATTGAACGGATCTTCATAGGGCATGGTCTTTAGTCTCTAGATCAGCCTGTTAAACCCCCTCTTGTCCATTTTCTTCCTACCATGTAGCATCTAGAGCTGAACAGATCTTATAGAGTGAATTGTCTAATCCAGGAGTGGGCTGCACTTGAGGACTAGAGGGCCCCATGTGGCTTCCAGCCCTGGTGTAGTCCAACCCGTCTTGTTTTGCAGATGAGTAAACTGTGGTCCAAGAGGTTCAACAGCTTGCTCAAGGGTCCCCTATCTAGCAAATGGTGTAGCCAGGACTCAAGGTCACATTTTCTGATTCCCCAACCCCACCCCCGAAGTCCAGTGCTCTTTCCATTTCAATGTAATGATGACAGTGTTAATATCTTCCCTCTCTCCAATAGCAATGATAATTTGAGTGTTTTTGTGGGGAGCACACATCTCAAACAGAGCTCTGACTCTTCTACCCGGGTTGCAGTCAAGCGAGTGGTAATCCATCCCAACTACCAGGAGACCAGATACTGGTCGTGGATTGGCCGTGAGGACGACGTAGCCCTCCTCAAGCTTGCCCAGGAGTTGAAATACACCAAGAAAATTTCCCCTGTTTGCCTGCCCTCCCCCATATTTGATCTGAAAGTTGGGTCCTTCTGCTGGCTAACAGGGTGGGGCCAGATAAATATATCCTCATCAGAAGGAAAAGGTGAGAAAATACCCCATGGTTAGGACTAAGGAGCCAGCCTTGTTCTTTCCCCTGGTATTCTTCAGTGGTCTTGAGTTCTTCCTCCCTAGCCCTTGCACACCATAGCCTTCACTGTACCCACTCCAGCTTTTAAGTCCTGCTTGCCACATACATGTCCATCTGCCTACTTCTTGACTAATTTAATTTTATTTATTATTAGTTACTGTAACCTATTTCCTGACTAGTCTACTATTTGCCCAGGAAGGGTATTTACCCTTTCTGAATATATCACAGCATCCACAATTCCTTCCCTGTTTCAGTTTGCAGTATCTCAGCCTGCTGACAAGTTGATTTATGGCATCTGTGTTCCACTTTGTATGCTGTCCATGGCCTTCTGCTGTACCCAGGTCACTACTGGTTCCTGAGACCCTTCTCCAACACATTTCATGGAACCAGAATTATATGTGTCATTATTTGATCCCAGTCCCCAATGCCCCTCCTCCCCATTTAGCAATCCCACTCCCCTCATCCCCAGGAAAGCTTACATTAAAGCACAAGTGCCTAGATAGATCGTTCTTCCCTCAGGAACACTTGTATTTTTTTTTTGTTTATTTTTTTATTTTATTAGTTTATTTTGATTTAGGAACAATTGCTTCTATGTGCTTTTGAACTTAAAATTTTTTCCCCCTTCCTCCCCACCACTCTCCCCAAGATGGTACACAATCTGCTATAGGCTATACATTTACATTCCTATTAAACATATTTTCACATTAGTGATGTTGTAAGTAAAAATTAAAACCAATAGGAGGAACCATCAGAAAGAGAAAACAAAATTCAACAGAAGAGAAAAAAAAAGATAGCAATTCAACTTCCATAGTTTGTTCTTTGGATGTGGATAGCATTTTCCATCACGAGGCCTCTGGAGATGTCTTAGATCTTTATAATGCTGAGAAGGGTTAAGCTCATCAATGTTAGTCATCACTCAACGTGACTGTTATTGTGTACAACATTCTCATGAGGAACACTTGTATTTGAACAGAGGAGGCTGAGTAGGACATGATTTAACAAAAGAAATAGTTCTGTAATGATGGAATTTCAGGCATCAGACTTCTTTTTGAAATGGAGAGTGTTGTCTTTTTTGTAGGGTTTTTCTTCTTTGGCACTCTTCAAATCACCAAAAGTAAACTAGTGCTTTAGGGTTGAAGGAAGAGGGTTAAGGCAGAGCCCAAAGGAACAGGAGCAGGAAGTCACTAGATGTGAGGGGACAGGGTTTGTATTTCAGTCCTGATATGTGGCTTTGATCTGGGCCTCAGGTTGCTTAACTGTAAAAAGAGGGGTTGCGCTCAGTGATCTTATAAGGTGCTTTCTATAGTGCCTACTGTGTGCCAGGCCCTGTGCTAAGTGCTTTACAAATGACCTTCATAACAACTCTGGGGGGTAGGTCCTATTTTTAATCTTATTTTGCATTGTTGTTATCTAATCCAAGGTGTAGCTGAGCAGTAATCCCCTTAGAGAATAGCTAAAGATTAATTGTTAAGATTAATTAATAGTCCCCTTCCCTTGAAGGCCTCTAATATAATAGGCAACGCAAACTCCCTGTCTCCCAAGGCAGCTAGCTCCATTTCCTTCTGGACAGCTTTAGTTGTTAGAAGATTTTGCTCAGATTGTATGCACTAAAATCTGTATCTCTTGCAACTTTGCTAATTGTTCAGTTTATTCATTCCCTAGACATTTATTAAATGACTATTATATTGTGAGAGCTATGGTAGGCCCTATACCATGTACTATCCCCCATCTCCACAGTGGGTCTTTCAGTGTTTGAAAGACATCTACCCCCATAAGTGTCTTCTCAGGCTTCAGGTTCCAGTTGTAGGACTTAGAGCCTGAAGTAGGCTGAGAGTCACCTATCAAGTCCAATCCCTTCACTTTGGAGATGAAGAGGCAGGACTAGACAAAAAAAAATGACTTTTAGTGACCTTGGGCAAGTCACTTAACCCTGATTGCCTCACAAAAAAAGAAAGAAAGAAATGACTTGCCCAGGATCACACACATCAGGTTGCAGAGCTGAGATTCAAACCCAGGTCCTCTGACTCCAAAACTGGTTTTCACATACAATCATAGAGAGAAATTTTCCTGGTTCCAGACTAGATATCCTAAATGTAGTGAACTTTTCAAAGGTCTAGATTCCCCTGGACTGACTCGGAGTGAGGCTTCTTCATTCTTTCTCCCCTTTTGGCTCCCACTGAAAATTTTTCTTATGTCCCTGGACCGAGTTCATTGGTACATTTTACAATCTCAAGCTCATTGTGAGCCAATTGAAAAGCCTGGCAAACTTGTAAGGAATTACCCGTACTGCTATATAATCCCTTGGCTAGCTAAGCATCTTATTACCTCATTACCATTAGGGAATAGGTATGGAGTGCCAGCAGATAAATAGAACAATTCTCATCCTTTCACAGTCAGAATCATTCCCTCTAATTCATGGGTTACCCCTCAAAGGCATGCTTTTATTAGTTTAAGAATTATGTCACCCAAAGATCACCTCATAGAATGTAGCGTACTTAACCTAAGAAGAGACTTATAGGATGGCTGTCTTCAAGCACTGAAAGATCCACCATGGAGATGGGGGATTAGATGTGTTCTACTTAACCTCAGAGAGTAAAATGGAGAGGAAGGGATAGAAATGGTGAAGAGACAAATTTTGGCTCAATATGAGGAAAACTTCCTCACAGTGAGAAAAATCCCCAAAGTTGAATGGGCTGCCTTGTGAGGTCATTGTCCTCTTTGAGGACTAGAAGCAGGGCCTGGTTGTCACTTGTCAGGGATGCTGTTGAGAATACTCTCACTCAGGTTGAAGCTGGGCAAAACACTCTCTCTGAAGTCCTGTCAATGCTAATATCCTGTGCCTCTGGTTTCAGGACATACCCGTGCTCCCGCTTCATAGTGCACATCCTTGCCCTTTCTTTTCAGAGTTCAGTGGAAGCCAGGGGCGAAGATGAGCACTGAGGAGTTAGAAAGAACTGTTTGGTGGTGGCAGAGCAGGAGAGAGGTGTAGGCTCTTCCTCTGTCTCCCTTTCCCAAACCTTCCTGAACCTTTGACTACAGTGACTGAAGGAGCTGATTGGCTTGTCCATGCTCTAAACACTGGGTGGGCTAGTGGTGTCATCTCTGGGAGCTACCCCATGGGCTTTGGGGTGGTCTAGTTGAGGGGGGTGGAAGCAGTGAGGTCATGGCAGGGGGATCATGAAACAAAGAAGGCTCTAACCACTGAGGTCTTTCCCAGCTCAAAGCCCCAGAATACAAATAGATGATGGTCTTCACGAAGCTGAGATCCAGGTCTTGAGCAACGATGAATGTGACTCCCGCTACCATGAAATTTCAGAAGTGCCCAGCATTATCCGCATCGTCACCCCTACCATGTTGTGCAGTGATTATTCCCGAGGAAAAGGCTTCTGCTTTGTGAGTTCTCTGTGTAAGACCCAGTGCTTAGTGCAGTCCTGATACCTCGTAGATGCTTCGTAAATGTTTGTTGATTGAGCCATGGAGAGAAACTTTCCCCTACCTTGGCACCCACTCCCCAGCCCCACCTCCATCTTTCATCTCTCAGAGCACTTAGTCATTGTCAGAGAAGGGAATGACTTTGGGAGGAGTCATAGGAGCTTAGTATAGATTTAGAAACATCGCACAACCTAGGTGTCTAGAGACAGATTGTAGAACAGAATTCTAGGATTTCAGAGTGTCTGTGAGACAGGTAGGTGGTACCATAGCTCGTAGAGCTCTGGAATCTGGAGTCAGAAAGCCCTGAGTTCAAATACAGCCTCAGATACTTACTCTCTGTGTGACCCTGGGCAAGCCACTTTATCGCCTGTCTACCTCAGTTTCCTCATCTGTAAAATGAGGATAATAATAGCACCTCCCTCCCAGGAGTATAGTAAGGATAAAATGAGATTACATTCATGAAGCACTGGGCAAAGTTTAGGGCATTATGTAAATGATACTATTGTTATTATTAATAGTCAGCATTGTACAATATAAATGCTAGCAATTATTTTTAGTGATAATGATAATTATCATTACATCATTGCAGCTTACATTGATAATAATAATAATAATGATAGCTGGCATTTATGTAGTGCCTAGTATGTGCTAGGCACTGTGCTAAGTGTTTTACAAATATTATCTCATTTGATCTTCATAAGAACCCAGGGAAGTAGGTGCTATTGTTACACTTCTTTTACATTATTATTGTTGTTGTTATTGTTGTTTAATCCAAGCTGTAACTGAGCAGGATTCCCCTTATAAAATCCCTGAAGATTAATATACCAGCCTCTTCCCTTGAAGACCTCCAATATAGTAGGGAACACAAACTCCCTGTCTCCCAAGACAGCTAGCTCTTTTCCTTTTGGACAGCTTTAATTGTTAGAAGATTTCCCTCAGATTTTGTGTGTACTAAAACCTGCATCTCTTGCAACTTTGCTAATTACTCAGTTCATTCATTCGCCAAACCTTTATTAAATGCCTATTATATTACAAGACCTAGGCCCTGGGGGTAAAAAGAATAGATAAAACAGACTGCTTTCAAGTAGTTTTCTTTTTTTTTTTATTTTAATATTTTATTTTTCCCTAATTATATGTAAAAACAACTTTAATATTTCTTTCTTTCACATTTTGAGTTTCTAATTCTCTCCCTGGCTGTCCTCTCCCCTCATTGAGAAGGCAAGCAATTTTACATCGCTTATACACATACAGTCATATAAAACATATTTCCATGTAAATCATGCTGTGAAAGAAAATACAAAACCCCCAGGAAAAATAAAGTAAAGCAAAAGTATGCTTTCATTTGCATTCAGACACCATCAATTCTTTCTCTGGAGATGGATAGCATTTTTCATCATAAGTCCTCCAGAGTTGTCTTGGATCATTGTATTGCTCAGAATGGCAAAGTTATTCATAGTACATCATCATACAATATTGCTGTTCCTGTATACAGTGTTCTCCTGGTTTTGCTCAATTCACTTTGTATCAGTTCATACAAGTCTTTCCAGGCTTTTCTGAGAGCATCCTGCTCATCATGTCTTATAGCACAATAGTATTTTATCACAACCATATAGAGCAACTTGTTCAGCCATTCTCCAATTGATGGGCATCCCTTCAATTTCCAATTCTTTGCCACCACTGAAAGACCTACTATAAATATTTTTGTCTACATAAGTCCTTTTCCTTCTTATTTTTTATGTTTTTGGGATACAGACCTTGTAATGGTACTGCTTGCTCAAAACATATGCATGGCTTCATAACCCTCAGGGCATAGTTCCAAATTGCTCTCCAGAATGGTTGAATTGGTATACAACTTCACCAACACTGCATTAGTTTCTTAATTTTCCCATATCCCCTCCAACATTTGTCATACTCTTCAGTCTCATTTATTCTCATTTGTCTTCTCTTCAGTGAATTTTTGTATATCTTTCCCTCTTTGGCGAGTTCTGCTTTGCAAGGCATGCTTCTCTTCCTTGGGTTCTTGTGCCTCTTTTGCCATTTGGCCTATTCTGTTTTTTAAAGTGTTATTTTCTTCCATATTTTTGGTGCCACCTTTACCAAGCTGTCAACACTTTTTTCATGATTTTCTTGCATCACTCCTGTTTCTCTTCCCAATTTATCCTCTCTCTGTCTCACTTGATTTTTAAAATCCTTTTTAAACTCGTCCATGGTCTGAGGCCAATTCATATTTTCCTTTGAGGTTTGGGATGTAGCAATTTTGAGTTCATTTTCTTTTTCTGAGTTTGTGTTTTGATTTTCTCTGTCACCATAGCAACATTCTGTAGTCAGGATCCTTTTCTGCTGTTTGCTCATTTTACCAGCCTATTTCTTGACTTTTGACTCCATGCTAAAGTGGGGCTTTGCTTCCAGAATGGAGGGGGCAGTATCCAGCTTCAGGTTTTTTGTGCAGTTGTTTTCAGAGATATTTCTGGGGATCTGTAAATGTTTTTTGTTCTTGCAAGGTGGTATGATCTAGGGAGAGCTGTGTTTGTGCTCTGGTCTGTGAGTGACCACAAGCACTGTTTTTCACCCTGGAACTGTGACCAGGGTACCAGTTTCAATAGTGTTAGAGCTCTTCCCTGCCCTGAGACTGAGACCCAGAACTGCAATCAGTGGCTCTTTCCTTTGTGGTACAGAAAAAAAGAAGGTTGGTCCAAATCTGAGACAGTGAAGAGAATTAGTTCTAGAGGAAGAAGCTTGGCCTTGAGTTTGTGCTTTGCTTTTTTTTCCCTTGCTCCTTTGATGGAGTGCATCTCCAGGGATGGAAAGCAGGGATTGTTCTCTCCTGTCTTAGCCCACAACTGGGGCTAATGTCTTGCAGAAGCCCATGGCAAAATCCAGAGGCCATAAGCAGAGTGGAAGTATGGGGCCTAGATTTGGAATCTTCTGTGCAACAACGCCATGTTCTTTGCTACATGACACCATGACAGCTTCCTCCAGTATCTTCAGGAAGGAGTCAGGCACCAGCCACCTCTACTCTCTGTTCCTGGAGGCCTCTAAAGAATGTGCTGTTTAGCCAGATTTTCTGACTTTTCCCAAGCCCATTGGATTTCTTACAATGTGCCTGAGGTAGACAGTACTGTATCATCACAGAGATCTAATTTTTTCATTCTTTTGGATTTGTTCTACTGTGTCATGATTTCTCATGAAGTCACTATCTTCCAATTGCTCTATTCTAATTTTGAAGGAAGTATTTTCTTCAGTAAGCTTTTGGACTTCCTTTTCCATTTGGCCAGTTTTGCTTTTTAGGGCATTCTTCTCCCCATTGGCTTTTTGGACCTCTTTTGCCATTTAGGTTAGGCTGTTTTTTAAGGTGTTATTTTCTTCAGTATTTTTTTTTTGAGTCTCCTTTAGCAAGCTGTTGACTTGTTTTTTCTGATTTTCTTGCATCATTCTCAGTTTTTCCTCTACTTCCCTTACTTGCTTCTCAAAATCCCTTTAGAGCTCTTCCAAGGCCTAGGACTGATTCATATTTTCATCACAGAGCTCTAGTCACATGCAGCACAACCATACACACAGTCACTGTATCCCCTCCAGGCTCATATACTGCCTAGACATCCATCTGTACTGTAAGTTTCACTCTACAAGGCCATGCAGGCCTCAGCTCATCCCCTTTCCCAGCCCTCACTAATAACTGCCCTCTCTCTCTCTCTCTCTCTCTCTCTCTCTCTCTCTCTCTCTCTCTCTCAGGGAGATGATGGGAGCCCACTCGTCTGTGAAGTTGATGGAACTTGGTTCCAAGCAGGGATAGTGAGCTGGACCTTGGGATGTGCTCAGAGGGACACCCCAAGTGTCTATTCTCGGGTCAGCAAGTATGCCCTCTGGATCAATAAGGAGATAGCAGAGTTGAGCTATGCAGTCTCCACCCTTATGGCCTCCTCCTGGATCATACCCCTATGCCTGCTATTGCCAATTTGTCTCATGATGGCTCTCTTCCCTCCTTCCCTTCTCTGAATTCCTCCTCCCTGCCCCACCCCCTCCCCACTATCAGCCCCCTACTATTCCTGGAAACTTTCCTTTACTTCCTTCTGGAAAGTCCTGAATTCCTGCTGCTACCCCTGAGGATTTCATTCTCCTCCTTAGCCTCATAACCACTAACATAGCTGAGGCTCAGGAGATTGAGCGGCTGAGGGTGGAGGATTGATTTCTGAGGCTGAGTGGGCAGGTCAAGGAGCCATGTGAAGATATCTTATGCAGGAGGTGAGGCCAGAGGGAGAAGAGTAGTTCCTTGGGAAAGGACAGGATACCAGGGTTCAGGGTTTAGGATATTTGGGTCCCATAGGCCTCATTGTAAAAGGGAGGGAAGAATCAGAAAGAATGATTTTAGAAATTGATAGAAAGATAGTAGACATTGAGCTCAAGCAGAGGCAGCCAAAGGTGATCTTGGGGATGTGAGTGCTCACTCATGCTAACCAGAGAGAGATTAGCACAGTACTGTATCTTACATATAGCAGGGACTCAATAAATTCATGTTCATTGATGGTTTGTTTGATTCTCTGTTGTTCCAACACTGAGCAGGTGCCTTTCTCACTGGACTGTCTTATTTTTTTTGATTGTAGAAACCCCAAATGTCAGAGCTGGGGCAGCTCTTAGAATATAAAAAAAACAAACAAAAAAAAAGCAGAGCTGGAATGGACCATGGAGATCACCTAGTCCTGTTGCTTCATTTCATACAGGAACAAATTAAGACCCAGAAAAAGGTCTTGCCCAAAGTTCACTGACTCAGTTAGTGGCATTGCTGAGATTAGAACCTAGGTGTCCTGATTCAAGGCATCATGAAATCTTGAGACGGGTTTTTACCACCCCCACCCCAGAACATGAAGGGGGAAATTTCTTCTGTCATAGGCCACTCTCCTGAATCCCCATGTTTCCTGGTGCTTCTTCTAAAGCTTTCCTCCTACCCTTCCTCGGGCCATCCTGTGCACACACAGTTCAGATGTACTATTAATATTTACGACAATGTGAGAAGATCTTTTGGGGGCTAGGGAATGGGTGACTAGATACATTTAAAGTGTGTAGTCTTCTGTGCCCTTGTTGGCCTGATTCAGTATCCAGACATTAATCACCTCTTCCAAAGCATCCCTGGCCATCATCTGCTGTTCATCAATAGATTTCTTCCCCATAGCCTGACCCTTAGAGTTATGGTTTAACTGATTAATCCAACTTCAAGAAGGGATTAGAGGCTCTCTCCAGAACTGAAGTTTATTAAAATGATCCTGATGAGAAAGAGTAGGGGTAGGTATCTAAAGAGACCAAACATAGCTGCCCAGGGACTTCTCAAATGAGCTCAGCGTCAAGCAGAACATGCACAAAAGGTGGGAGAAGAGGGTCATAGCCATAGATGAAGACCAGTAAATGAGAGTCCAGTGAAAACAGAACAGGAAAGGCTAAAGCCTAGGGTAGAAGAAAGGCCTGAGAAAATTGAGAAAGGAACAAAAAGAGGTTTGGGAGAGCTTTTTGGGAGGGAAAGGGGCAAGAAGGTAAGTACCATACCGGTGTCTTGGGGGAAAGACAACAGCAGCTCAGCTCCTAGGGAATGAATGTATGAATAAATGAAAATGCATTTATTAAGCACTTACTATATGCAAAGCACTGTGCTAAGTGCCAGTGATACACATCAAAAATCTGAGGCTGTCCCTACTCCCAAGAAGCCTACAGCAATGGGGGAGACATCACAGATAGGATATTTCCATTATAAATCAGATGACAAGGCCCCCTGGTCAGTCCTTACAGGGCAGCCACAAAGAGATGTTAAGGCATCTTCTTTCATGTCCTTTCCACTGATAAAACCCCGTATCTACATGGCAAAACTATTTCCACGACTCCCAGGACTCTGGTGGTCAGAGATTTCTCTAACTGTGGTTGCTAAGGAGGCAAGGGCTGCAGCGCCCACTGAGGCTGTGGTGAGATCACATCACCAAAGGGGCTACTTCCTTCCTGGGCTGGAATGGGGGGTGGGTGGTGGTGAGGAGGGTGAGTCCCTTCTCTGCCGGGATTGTTCCCTTCAAATGCTGGCAACGGAGTCTGGGACGGAAGCAGTCACAGTGGTCTGGGGGCACTGCTATCCTCAGAGCTCTTGGGTAGAGAGACCTGCATTCATGAAGTTCATTTTCTTTCTCCTCAACATCAGTGATGGGGTGGCTGGTCCCCTCGACTGATAAAATAATAACGAACATTTATATGGTTTCCAAAGCACTTTGCAAATACTATTTCATAATAATAATAATAATAAATGCCTAACACTTGTATAGCTCTTCCTATGTGCCAGGCACTGTGCCAAGTGCTTTGTTGTTATTATGCCATTTGATCCTCACAACAACCCTGGGAGATGGGTGCTATTGTTATCCCCAATTTACAGATGAGGAAAGTGAGGCAATATGGTTTAAGTGACTTGCCCATATCCTCACAACGATGTAGAGAGGCCAGTGCTATTGTTATCCCCATTTACTGATGAGGAAATTGAGGCAGGCAGTTCAGTGACTTGCCCAAGGTCACACAGCTAGTCAGTGGCACAGGCTGGATCTGAGCTCAGGTCTTTCCTGAATCCGGGTCCAGTGCTGTCACCACTACGCCCGACTAGTGATACTCAGAGTGGTGTTCAGTCATTCCCTATGTGGGCACCGATTTTGAGCTGCTGTTCCTCTCCGTCCAGCAGGATCCCCCGGCACTAACACAAGGTTAGCGGTTTTCAGGGTTGGGAACCAGGGAGAGAAGAAACATAGCTCATTTATTTATTTATTTGTTTAAGTTTTTATTTCTTCTTAGTTTTCAGCATTCAACATTCACTTCCATAAGATCTTGAGTTTTAAATGTTCTCCCCCTCCCTCTCCTTTCCCCTCCCCAAGATGCCGTGCAATCTAATATAGGCTCCACTTATACATTCATATTAGGCATGTTTTCACATTAGTCTTGATGTAAAGAAGAATTAGAACCAGTGGGAATGTTGAGGTCTAAGAGGTTGAGACCCCTCAAAGACCAAGAGTACAGGATGGGGTTGTCTGGAATGAATTCACAGAATCAAGAATTCTTTGAGTCAAGTTGGCAAAGATTTGTTACGCTTTTCAGCAGGCAAGGATTCTTAAGGCATCTGTGGAGAGACTGAGGATGGTGCTGGGTTTTATATGGAAAAGGGCATGGGAAAGGAATGCCAGGGATACTAATTAGGTAATCTAATGGTCCAGGTGTCTTTGGGAGCTATGGATGGGAAAGTGTAGGGAGTATACCAAACAGGGAGGGAGATGTCAGAGGATCTTGGGAATCTGCTGGGAGGAAGATTCCCTGGGGGACAAAAACCTCCTTGGACCACACAAGACACCCCTCTCTCTCTGTCCTGATTAGCAACAAGGAAAAGTTTTCTCAAAAGACAGGCGCTTACTAAGGAATTGGGAGGCTTCCAGAGACATGATCTTAGGGCTGGGGGCAGCTCAGCACTCTCACCCAGCTTTGTGTCACTGCATCAGTGAGAGATATAAGTGTTTTGCTGAGGCCCACTCGTGAGTAATTGCTAGGCACAGTGTCCTTGGGCTGGGAGAAAACTGAGGCCCGGAAGAAATTGGGGTCCAAGCACAGGCACCCAAGCATCCCATCAGGAGGAATCAACGAGAAAGAAGAAACAAAACAGAACAACAAAAGAAAAGGAGAGTAAATAGTATGCTTCCATCTGCATTCAGACTCCATAGTATGAACATAATTTAGAGCAAAGGTTCTTCACCTGGTTTCCAAAGACACCTTGGAGGTTTGTGGATGGATTTCAGGTGGTCCATGAATGTGTGTGTGTGTGTGTGTGTGTGTATCTGTGTGTCTCTCAATATAATTGGGTTCCTTCATAAATCTATGCGTTTTATTTTGTGCATTTTAAAATGTTATTCTGTGAAGGGACCTCTTAGCTTTACCAGTATAGAGGGAATGAAAGTCCAAGAAAAGTGAAAAGATAGCTGAGTAATAATAACTAGCGTTTCCATCGTGCTTACTGCGTGCCAGATGCTGTACTAAGTGCTTTTATAATTATTATCTCATTTGGTCCTCCCAACAACCTGGGGAGGTAGTTGCTATATTATCCCCATTTTACAGATGAGGAACTGAGGCAAACAGGGTTAAGTGACTTGCCCAGAGTCACACCGTTAGTAAGTGTCTGAGGTTACATTTGAACGCATGAAGAGGAGTCTTCCTGACTCCAGGCCCAGCACTCTTTCTACTATACCACAAACATGAAATTGGTAACCCAGAGACCTGGGTTCCAATTCTGGTTCTGCAATTTTTTTTATGCCTGGTTGACTGGGCAAGTTAGAGGAGCCTCATGGCTGAAACGGGCCTTAGAGGACACTTAGTGGGATCTCTGCCTAATATGCTATAATCCTATACACTTCCCAACATCTAGCCTTGCAGACTGAGGGGGAGCTCACTGCCTCCTGGAAGCAGCCCATTCCAATCCTGGGCAGCCCCTAATCATCAGATCACTGGACAATTCTTCCTCATATCGAGCGGAAATCTGTCTCCCTGTTACTTTCAACCATTGCTGTTGTCTTCTGGAGCCAGGACCGAGTGTGGTCATAGAGAAGAATACAACATGACCAGAGTTGGGAAGAACTTTACAGATGAGGAAACTGAGGCCCAGGGAGGTTACTCACCCAAGGTCATTGAGATACCAAGTAAAAGAGCCAGGATTCCAATTAAGGTCCCATAACTTGAAATCCTGCTGCCTTTCCCAGACGCCACACCACTTGAAGACAATGATCATGTCCTACCTCCCCAAGTCACCTCTATTCTCCAGGGTAAATATGCCCCATTCCTTCAAGTGGTCCTCATCAAATGTGGTTTCCAGGCTCGCCACCATCCTGATCATGCTCCCCTGGATTAGCCCAGTGTCATCTATTCTTGGGGCAGCGAGGGAGTGTGGTGGCTAGAGCACCTGGACGGCAGTCAGGAAGATCTGCGTTCAGATCTGGCATCAGACACTTACTAGCTGTATGATCCTGGGCAAGCCACGTAACCCTATTTGCCTCAGTTTCCTCATCTGTAAAATGATTTGGAGAAGGAAATGAGAAACCATTCCCATGTCTCTGCAAAGAAAACTCTGAAAGGGGTCATGAAGATGCTGGACATGACTGAAATGACTTGACAACAAAAATATCTACTGTCAGAACCTGTTTATTTATTTGAAAAATGGGGCTAGAAGTCCTTAGCCCTACCTACCTAATGGAACACTCAAAGAAAGCAATTGGCAAATCCTAAAATGCTGTAGAAATGGGAGCTAATGTTATTATAATACAAAGCAAATCTTATCCCCAAGAGTCTACCCCTGAGGCGATAGGAAGCCCCTGAAAATGTGATTTCCATGTGCTTTCAGCAGTCTTGCAGAAACTGTGTCAAATGGGAAAGATTAACAGGTGTGGGAAAGGGCAAACGTTTTCCTAGTTTTGAAAAAAAGTGAATTCCAGCAAGCATAGGTCAGTGACCGTGACTGTGATCGGCAACAAC